AATATTATTATCGTTCAGGCAGCTGACCTGATAAAGGACAGAGTGAACCTCAAGGGGTTTTACAGGTAACACAGTTTTCTAACACCTTGTCAAAAATTCTCCTTGCAGGAAGAAAAAACCCAACTTGTGTTAAAATCATAACCTTGATCAAGGAGAGGTGGGCCATATCAGTAGTAGGAGGGGTTTCTTTGTTCTGTCTCTTGAGGCTACTGGTGGTGACTTTTTGTTAAACTTAGCTGTGTATTTGTTTAGTTAGACTCCTCATTCTGAAGTTAGGGTATGGAATTCCCAGCCATAGGTGTGGATGGGTTCCTGAGAGAGTCTGCTTTGCTTCCTTTGAGATAATGATATTTCATAATATTTTTTTGGCTGTGTGCTGCACTAGGGACTTAAGTATGGACTCCCTCTTGAGGAACCTTATCAAGGCTCTGCAAGGACTCCTTGCAGGTCCATGGGCAGAGAGAACTGCTCTGTCTCTCGCTGAGAGTGAGCCGCCTCCTCAGGTACATAAGCAGGGGGAGAGGCTGGTCAGCGTATGGATGACAGCTGTCTACCTGGGCTAGTGAACAAGGACAGAGGTTTTAGAGTAAACAGCTGGACCACACACATGGTCACTTAGAAAGCTTGGTGTGTGTGTTTTCATTGTATGGAACAGTTTAAAAGAAAAACCAAAAGTGAATTATCAGCTTTTTATTTTGCCAAGTAAAGATATTAAACCACACCAAACATTACCAAAAGAAAATCAGACAAAAAGAAAGACACCAGTACTATTTGTTATCACTATTCTTTTTTAAAGAAACAACATTGTAATACCATAAAGAGTAGGAAGAATACTCAGAAAACATGACACCAAAAAAAGTAGGAAGTAGTCTCAGAATAAAGGATGTTCCTTTAAGTTAAATAAATTTAGCTTTATGATAAACTCATTATAATATTCCTATTTTTTCCATTTGCCACAGATGGGAAAAATTTCATCATGGCCTGGATTTTTGGGATAGTGATTCCCAGACTATTGGAGTAAGAAGACCCCCTTTCTATTGAGGCATAATTTATATAATAAAATGCACAAATCTTAAATGTACAGCTTGATGAATTTTTATTTGTTACACACCCATGTAATCATTTTCTATATAACCATTATCAAGAAACGGAGGATTTTTATACCCCAGAAAGTTCCTTCATGCCTCCATCTAATTAGTAACCATTCCCTGCAACCAACTATTTTTTTTTAACATCAAAAACTCGGCAGAATCTGTGTTCTTATGAGCCATTATATGAGCAAATACAAAGTGTGGGGAGAGACCACAGTGAATTAACACTTTGAAATACTATATTTAATTAATCACATTAACAATTACATAGGTTTTGAAAAATATGCCATAGGCTGCATACCTATTCTGTTTATAAACAATGCTTTTGCGTGTGTGGACTCATGAACCTCTTGAAAAAGCTCCAACATCCACCCTTTTCCTCCCTTAGGCATTCATAGCTCAGAGTCTGAGAACCATTAGTTTAGAACCCAGTCCAAGTCGACAGAACAGGTTCTGTGAAGATTGGACCACTTCACAGAACTTCATTTTTATCTTTAATAGATGATGGCATCACCTTTAGGCACATCTGACTTTTCCTTTTTTTTTTTAATTAAAATTGTTGGCCCAGTGCAGTGGCTCACACCTGTAAATCCTAGCACTCTGGGAGGCCCAGGTGGGTGGATCGCTCAAGGTCAGGAGTTCCAGACCAGCCTGAGCAAGAGTGAGACCTCGTCTCTACTAAAAAATAGAAAGAAATGATCTGGACAACTAAAAATATATATATAAAAAAAATTAGCCAGGCATGGTGGCGCATGCCTGTAGTCCCAGCTACTCGGGAGGCTGAGGCAGAGGATTGCTTGAGCCCAGGAGTTTGAGGTTGCTGTGAGCTAGGCTGATGCCATGGCACTCTAGCCCGGGCAACAGAGCAAGACTCTGTCTCAAAAAAAAAATTGTATGTACGTCTTTGAGTCTAGTTGTGAGCAAGCACCTTTGGACTCATTTTAGGTGCTATATGTAAGGCCATATGGGAGATCTATCATTATACTCAGGTTTTCTTTTTTTTCTTTATGGGCTCTCCATGATATAGATTGAAAAAGGAATTGGGAGATGTACATTAATCAGGTTCATGAGAAAAGAACTGTCTATCCAAGTTTGCACAGATTTAAAATGTAGTGGGAGTAGAATGGGGCAACAGCGTGTGTTTTGCTGTGTTAGGGGCAGAACCACCTTTCATAATCTAAGGACTGGTTGACGTTCTGGATTTAAACATGAAGCACTCATGCAGTTGCCAAGCATGGATCACTTTCATTTGCCTCGTAATAACTTGAGGTAAAGTTTCCCCATATACCACATGAGAATTCACTTTTAAAACTTTGAAATGTTTTCTATTCATTTTTTTACTATATGAACGATCACACTGGCTTCTCAGTCTTTGTTTCCTTTGCACAAAGCAGTCACTAAATACCATCACCCAGACTCTAGAGATTGGTTGAATTCATGTTTTGTTATAGCAATGACATGGGCTTTTAGCTAATCACCTCCATTTCACGATGTTCCTACCTAGTATTGCAACTGTAGTTAGATCTACATGTACTTGGAACAGTTTCTGGATTGAGTACAAGACTGAAAATATCCTATGGGTAAGAACTGCTGCCTGTATTTAGATCGCTCCATTCCAACCATCTCTGTTTTCTTCCTCACCACTCTCCCCTAAGTCCTGTGCATTTAGGTTTTTTAATCAGATTTTTGCAGACCTGGTCAGCAAATCAGGGGACTAGAAGTTATTATAAATAAAGAAGCAAGTCGCCTCACTTTGTTCACTTAGGTGATATTAATGACAGTGTTTACCCTTACCGCTAATGTTTTCCCGATTTGAAACATAACTTGATAAAGTTGGAGAGGGTAGTGCAACTGAAACAGCAGCTTTCTTTGAGAGTGGGGCCCAGTTTTTGATGTTGTCATGGCAATACTGTGTTTTAGCATATTGACTCAGAGCACCCCCTCCAAAATAAACAAACAAACAAAAATCGAAACAGTGAGCCCTTCCCAATGAGAAGGGAGAGCCGGTGCACTGGGGCTTTGTGGTCACCAGTGCCACCCGAGAGTCTATTAGGAATGCACAATCTCAGGTCACACTCAGCCTTACTGCATCAGAATCTATACTTTAACAAGATCCCCCAGGTGACTCCTAAGCACTATTTTTAAGAAGCTTCTTCCCTGTCATCTGTGAACAAACAAGCAGCTGCATCCATCAAGCCACCTTTTGCAATTTGGCAGTTTCGTTTGTTTAGTAAATATTTCATTGTGTGCTTTCATGTTCCAGACGATGTCAGACACTCAGCAGGCTGAGGAGCTACATTGTTTTGAGAATATGAACTAAGGTGATACAGTATCTAATCCATGGGATAAAAGTGCTTTCAAAGCCCTAAGATGCTGGCTAATTGACAGAAGTGTTGAGGAATTAATTAGATAATTAACACTTTGAACCTTTAACATGAAAGGTGTCCTATAGAATTAGAGGTTAATCTTGACTATTTGATCTAATTGCCTGTTACGTCGCCATCTGTGTTCTCATTTTGTTTTTTAAAAAATCCATATATTTGACTGTTAATCTTTCTGTTGTATTAATGCTAACCTGTACCTGAACATGTCTAGAATTGGCTTAATTGCCTTAGCATATCTTTCAAATAGTGATACTTTACCAAAAAAAAAGGTGCTTTATCAAAAGTTAGAATATTTGATTAAATATCTCAGCACAAAAGTTCACCACCTTGTCTTTCTTCCCCTCAGATTGCATAGCACCTCATGGCATTTCTTCATATTGTTGGTTACAGTGTGATTCCTGGGTATTCGTGACTGTGCCAATCACAAGAGATAGCAAAATAGGCAATATCTCTCTACTTTAGGAATACAAATAAATGTTGATGTCTCTTGATCCTTCAATCCTGACTATAGAATAAAGATAGCCATTATATGATACATCATTTTATAAAAACTTTTTGATCTTTTTCATAAGGGAGAGTGGAATTCAATGATATTTTTGCAAAATGAAAAAACGTATTTCAGAAAATTTTTTTTTGTTTTTTATCTGAGGCTGATGCAGATGAAAAAGTAAGTATGAAGATGCTGCTTATAATACTCAGGTTATGGAATTTTTTGAATGTAGTGTGTTTTAAGGTAGATGATTTTTTGCATGTGATTAGTGGAATCTAACACATACATCTAGATTTATGAGTTTATGATCTAGGTTGCTTAACTAGGTTGCTTAGATTATATTAAAAAGATTAGCAATCAAATTTATTGTTCCTTGAAATACATTTTAGCAGTATCAAACAAAATTCTATACCATGACTATGGTCCCAATTTTGTCTCACCTGAGAATTATCTTGTTCTCAAAGGGACTAGATAAAAATCTATAAATGGTTGAACCAAAGTTTATCACTACCAACTTGAGATATGTAGCTTACCAGGATAAAAGCATTATATTTGTATAAAAGGCTGCTGTAACTTATTCCTTCATTTATTCAAATATATATTGAGAATTTACTGTGTACTGTGCATGGACTGTTCTAATTTGAGGGGATTAATATTGAATTATAGAAAGTCCCTGTTTTCCCTGTTCTCCTGGAAATTATTTTCTAATGGGGGAAGCAGATATTTATTTGGAAATATGTATAATTACTAAATCTTTGTTGACTTGAAGAAAGAAAAAGTATAAGAGAATTTGACTCTTAAGTTTTGCAAAGGAAGTGATATTTGAGCTTTAATATGAAAAATAAATCAGGAGTATGTTATTTGTTCTTGGGTTCCTTATTTTAAAAAGCAAACACATGAACGGAATAGTATTAAATATCAATATTTTGGCAAATGGGTGGCAACAGTACCTTACTGTGAATGTCTTTGCTTTTGTCTAGGAGAAGCTGTGTTGGGTCAGAGCTGGTAGACTGGCTTCTGGAACACTGTCCTTATGTCCAGTGCAGATCTATGGCCATAGGGGTCTGGCAGCTCCTACTGGACATGGGAATTATGTCATCAGGTTGGTATTATATGTTTTGAAGGCATGGCATTGTTAGTAAGCTATCAGATAAAAATATACTTGATTTTCTAGAGAATATTATCTGGATGGAAATTATTTTTGAAGGTAAATATTTGTATTCTTTTATTTTCTAGGTAAAAGTGACAGGTCATCTTTTGATTCACTTATTTCTCTCATACCTTTTGTAAAAACATGTAGGTCCTTGTCGATTCATAGGCTAATAACTGTTAGAATCTTTCCCTTACCCCTTTTACTACTCAAAATGCTCACAAACTCTTTTTTTAAATCAGTGACATCTTTAGTTGCTCTAAATATGTGATTTGTCTTGTTGTACTTGGAGTAATCATTGGAAGCTGATTTTGTGCGTGGAATATGTATGTCATTTAATTGACTAAGTAATCAGGAACACTTAGAGATATGACCTGTGAAAATTAGATGTTTAAACAGAACAGAAAATAGATGTTAACTGGGAACTAAAATAGATGATGGATATTTCTTTTCTCAGTTGAGCCCAGGTAATTGAAGGATTAGAAACCAAGCAATCTGGATTCTTTGTTTAGCCGCATCTCTCAGGTGCTAGTTGGTCACTGAGAAGCTCTTTTTTTCCACAGGTACTAAACGTCAAGGGTATTCCCCTGGTCCCATCGTGAAAGAATAGTACAGATGGGGATGTGGGTGTAATCTTCTTAGATAATCAATAATATCTAGCTCTTAATATTCTTACTTAGAAAATCAATTAACTACTTTTGAGAAATGGAGGTATTATTAGCTCACTTGGTAGTTTCAGGCTTCTGGTTAGGAAAACATTTTGTATTAATGCTTTTTGGAAAAGTTCACCTCTCGATTCCTTTAAAACAGGATTCCCCAACCCTGGTAGTGTTGACATTTTAGGTTGGACAATTCTTTGTTGTGAAAGGCTGTCCTGTACATTATAGGATTTTCAACAGCACCCCTTTTTGCTACCCTCCAGATACCAGTAGCACCTCCCCAACCCAGTTGTGACAACCAAAAATGTCTCTAGACATCACTAAATGTTCCCTGGGGGGAGGCACAGTCACCCCCAGTTGAGAACCACTCATCTTAAAACTTGCGATCCTTTTATATTTGTGTATCACTAAGGCAATTAAATCTATTAGTTTGTTTTGGGACACTAAAAAAACCAATGTCTTCTCACCCTCTTTGAATTGCGACTGATTTCATGTGCCCCTGCCTCTGAAGCAGAAAAATTGTAAAATACATGTGACTATGCTGGCCAAAGCTTCAAGTCATGGAAATAGACTAGCCAGTAAGTCCTTTTCAATTCAATGGGATTATAAACATGAATGGGCTTAGAATGTATAATTATAATCTTACCCTAGCTTCTCCCTAGTAATTATTAGGGCTTCCAACTTATTATTTGATTTATGACTCTGAATAATATACTTTAAAAAACTGATTATACTTTTTTTGTTTCGAACAGTGGACCAGCATCTATACTTTCAAGATACTTATGTTTTCTACCAGTTTTCCTCGGATGAATGTAGCTACTTGTACTGTGAATTCGAAAGAGAAGAGGAGTGGCAAAACGGTGTGAAACTTTTACTGCAGCTTGTGCCTCTCATCCCCGCTAGAGCTGGCATCTGTGAACTGTGAGTAGACGCTATCTTGGGCCATTGTTAAACTATCCTTACTTAGACAGCATTTACCGTGTCCGGGAACTATGCTCTGCTCTTTAAAATAACTATCTCATTTAAGAGGTAACCGTACCATTCCCATTTTTCACATGCAAGTTCGGAAAGGTAAAATAAATTGCTGAAAATTAAATCCAGCTAATAAATGCCTGAACTGGTATTCAAATCCCAGAAGCGTCACCAGCTGCCCCATGAGGCTTCTAATTTATCATTGTTATATGAGTAGATGGTCTAAATTAGGAATAAACATATGATTGGGGTTAAGTTGAATAAAATAACTCACGTCCTATCCACATCGTGACTTTCCTAAGAAAGAGCGCAACAGAACATTTCTGAAAATAATCTAGAAGCAACATTTGGCAAATTAAAACACATGAATCATTATCACATGAACATACTGAATCACTATGTGATTAAAATGAATTAAAATTAATTAAAGAGGTTGGGAACAGGACTTGAGTCATGATATGGTGATTCTGACATGCCTTTGTTTATCCATGAAGATAGCGACAAGCTTATTTCAGAACTATGAGTCACAGACTAAATTTTCATATGTTAAAAACTTTTCATAAGTGAAAAACTTTTACATATGTAGAACACTTCAGTTTTTAGAGTACTTCCCTGGATTGTTGACTCTTTCAGCTCTGTGATATTAGCAGAGCAAGCAGTATTTATTTCATAGGTAAGAGAGGAGGTTCAGACAGAAACACCTGTATAACCATAACGAAGGTAAGTTACTCTTATTAGTTAAAAAATGGCAATTAATACTGAACAATTAGTACGGACTGTTTTTAGGACAAAAAATAAATTTCAGAATATTAATGAGACACTGTGCTAATAGAAAAGTTGATTGTAGTGTATGTGTTTTATGTCAGGCACTGTGCTAAATGCTTTATATTCATTTTTTCCACTTTCAGAAGAATTCTATAAGATAGATACTATTGTTATCCCTATTTTATAAGTGAGGAAATTGAGGCACAGAGGTCAGGTAACCTGCCCAAGGTCATACAAGTGTCAAGTGAAGTCTTAGTGTTTGAATTCTTTGTGTGTCTAGCTCTAGTGATCATCCTTTTGTCTTCTGCTACAATGTGTCCTCAGAAGTTATGGAGATCATTCTAGCATCCCCTTCTGAAAAAGTATAAACAGGAGCTATAAAAGTGTTAGACTAAGCTCTGAAATGGTTATGGATTTCCCACCCCCGCTGTTTATAGAGGGCCTTGCAATGGTAAAATGAAATTGAGATATCACTCAATTAGTCTGAGTATGGGAAATGTTCTTTATTGTAATATGCTATTAATTAATATAGGTCAGAAGTGTCCTGAGAAAAGTCGAGGAGCAGTTCAATAAACTTTAACGAGCTTTCTAAGAAGGAGTGGCATGCTTTTAAACTAGAGGTGGCTGCATTAGGCCCCTGTAATTTGCCATCTTTTGAGTGTCTCTAAAATAATGCGAGGAAACCACTTAACGTCTCTACGTAAACATAATTCTGTACAAATGCATTTCTTAAAAGAAAAAAGTAAAGGGAATTTTCTCCTTCAAGAAAGCATATTTAAAGCAGAAGGGGAAATTAAGCTGCTGCAGGTTTCTAGGCTAGTTTGCGGAAACAAAATCATTTTCTGTGCAAAATCCCTTTTATATCCAAACTGAATAGGTAATTCACAAAAAGTGACTGAATTGGTTGTCAAGGGAACTATCTCTGGGGGGGAAAAAGAGCAGTCATGGTATCTCATTCTGACCGAAAGCCAAATCAACTTGCCCAAGAATGTACTTTTTCTGACTCTTCTCTTTCGTGTTGTGCAGAGGGTGGGGGAGAGTCAGTGAGGAATGATGAAGTAACTGTGTAGGGAAAGGTGGCCTAATCATTCCCTGAGGAGGGAAGCCTTGGAAGCCTCTCTCACACTGTTTGGGAATTCAGGCTGTGAAGAAGCTCGGCCATTTCAGTTCAGCTGCTGTGACAGCAGCTGCCAGCTTGCCAGGATGGGAGTGGTAGGGCTCTGAACGGACAGTCTATGAACCTTAAATACATAACCTGTATCCTGCCGCTTCCATTAACATTTATGCTGTGGTTAAGAGACTTGCAGAGGTTCGCTAACATTTAACTCATTTAAAGGAAAATGTGGCTTCTTTGTTTTTCTCTAAGTGATCTGATACTTGTTTACATGAGCCTCCATCCTGCTGGGTGGCCAGCAAGAAGGAAAAGAAGCCCCACAGTTTTAGTCTAACCCAGTAGAATTATTCTACATAGTAATTTTAAAAGTCTCTTTACTTAACTGTTCAGCATATATTGGTAAAAGAGCTGAGTCTATCTCTGTTTCTCCCTGCTTCTCAAGATAGCCTCTGGGTACATGGTGAGTGGCGTGGGCCCCTTGGCCTTGGCAGAGGAGGATGTAGGAGGCTTTCGTGTCAGAGTGGATGCTTTCTCGCCTCACTGGTCTTGGCTAGTGGGTGGGCAGCCAGCTTCCCAGTGACCCCCGAGGTATAACTGGGCTTGGTGTTCTGTAAGTGGCTGCGGCTGGAGCCTGGGGATGGTGTAAGTTGGGTCTCTGTCTCAGCTTGATCAATGCCTGGTGGTCCTGCCTGGCTGATCTGCCTTCCTGGTTGCCTCTTGGCATTGCTGATGCTCCTAAAGTCTGGCTGCAGCTCACAGAGTAGACACCCTGTTCAGCCTCTTGGCCTCTGCTGAAACAGCCCCCTCTCACCACCTTGACCTGGCTAATATTACCATGGCATAAAGATGATTTTTGTGAGATGTCTGTAATGAATTAAAAAAAAATGATTTTGCCAAAATGGTACCTATTGCCACTTGGCTGACACTTCTGAAAATTCCACAAATTTAGCTTCATAAGCATAGATATCCAGAAGGGATTTCTAAGACAGTTGAATTTGTTCCTCTTAATTTTTAGGTGAGGAAAAGGAGCAAGGAGCAGAGGGTCTGGGAAAAGACAACCACTTGTCACCAACACTCTGCTAAGTGATTTTTTCAGTGGGCACTTGCTGATGATCAGCTTTGTGTTAAAGCATTATGTTTGGCCCTGTGAGGGATATGAACATTTGTAAGTAATATAAGGCCTTCAGGGACTAAAAGGGGAGATCAATTCATACAGATAACAAGGTAGAAAGTAGAGTGCCATCAGTGGTACGTAGGAGCTTATCATAAAGGTTCTGAAGATGTGGGAAAAATGAAAATGTTTTCTGAGAAATGAAAATATCTTGTACTGTATATTTCTAAATTCATTGAAAACAGGTAATTACTGTGTGGAATATTCAACTCTTCTCAGCTACAGAAGATTAGTTTTTATTATTATAGGTTATTCCTGCCTTTTGTGTTTTATACATTTTCATTATCTTATTACACTCAAGAATAGAAGTGACACATATTTTCAGCTTATCTACTCTTAATGTTTTTCCCTGAAAACCTTGACTTTTTGGCTTCTTGCTTATGAGAAGTTAAATATGGCAAGATGATCAATCCTGAGTTCCATTGAAGAGTCTTGTGAATAATGATCTATTGATGGGGCTTCAGGTTCAGTCCACGATGGAGTAAGTCTACTACAGCCTATCTCTTGTATTGATGACAGCTAAAATCTCTAGATAAAATACAATAACTACCTACCTACCTACCTACTTGAGCCCTCTGAAAAGTAAACAGAAGCAGGCAGATTATGGAAATAACTGAAACCTTGGGTAAGTGAGCTACACAGGTGTGAGTTTTTCCTTTTTGTTGTTTCTTTTATTTTGCAGCTTTGCCTGAAAGTCAGGCCCCAGTTACAGAGCACAAGGGAAGTGGTGGCACAGGTGTCAAAATCTCCAATAGAAACTCTTTCTGACAAGAAGGATCAGGAAAATGGGCCCCTGTGGTTTGAATAGTGCGTCGTTGTTGAGGTGTGAGGTGTGTGTATGGAGAAATCCTCGCCTCGATTCCACTTTTTGCTTGTAGCTTTGTCCAGGTTTCAGATTTCTGGTGGTGGCAGTGCAGGCAACTGTAAAAGACAATGAGGAACCCTGGTTTGTTTTTGTGTTTGGTCAAAAGAATTGGGCAAAGGAGCACCCCCCCGCAAGCAGGAGAATATAAGGGAATATAGGAAAGTGTAGAGGTAGAGAAAGGGATTCATCAGTTTTGAATATGAACTGCACAAATGTGGGTTGACTCCTGAGCTGTACATCTGTGGAATAGATGCAAAGAACATAGAAAAGGCTTTGAAAACTGAACTGAAATTGGAATCCTTGAGGCTGCACACTATGTTCAAAATGGCCAAGATACAATACAAAACTACTGGACACAAAATCAGCAGGAAAATGTGACCGATGGTCAAAGGAAATGACAAGCAACAAATGTCAACCCTGAGATGACCCAGATATTGAAATTATTAAAGACTTGATAACAACTATTTTAACTGTGCTCCGTTAGGTAAAGGTAAACATAATTAAAATGAATAGAAAGATATAAATTCTTAGTCAAGAAGTAGAAAAATTAAAAGAATCAAATAATGTTTTAGAACTGAAAAATGTACCTGAAATTAAACATTTATTGAATTGGCTCATTAGCAAAATGGATGTGACCTAAAGACAGATCAGTATAAATTATCCAGTGCGAAGGACAGAGAGAAAAACATGTTGAAAAAAAGATGAACAATTTCAAGAATTTGAACAGTATCATAAAGTCTAACACATGTTGGCATCCCAGGAGAAGGCAAAGAGATTTGTGTAGAAAAACATATTTAAAGAAATAATGACCAAAACCTTCCCAAATTTAGTGGGAGAAAAATTTACAGATTCAAGAGATTCTTTGAATCCCAGCCAGATATACTCAAAAACATATCTAGATACTTCATAAACAGCTAATGAACAAATAATGAAAAAGTTTTGAAAGTAGCTAGAGTAAAATGACATATTACTTACAGGAGGAGTAATAATTCAAGTGACTAGAGGCCAGAAGACAGTAGAACAAAATCTTTAAA